GAAAGTTTGATTCCCGGTCAGGGCACATGCCCGGGTTGCAGGCTTGGTACCCTGGTGGGGGGTATGCATGAGGCAGCCCATCGGTATTTTGGGTATTTTGCTCTCTCATGGATGTTTCTCTCTCTCTCTCTCTCTCTGTCTCCTCCCTCTCCCGCCCTTCCTACTTTTCCCTCTCCATTCCCCTCTCTCTCTAAAAATCAATAAAAAGTCTCTTTGTAAAAAAAGAATGCACATTTAATAGTCATTCCAGTTTATCTCAAGACACAAGACAGTGCTGACTTCACGCTGGAGCACAGGACAAGAAGGGAGCTAGCTATTCATACAGCTGCTTCCATTTAAAGACAAAGCTATTAACAGCATGATACTCCTTAGCTTAGAGGCAAAGTTTTTCTCAATTTATACTTAACTAAAGGTTTCATTTACATTTAGTAAATAAAGCATTTGCCTTTGAACAAAATCAAATAGGTAAGCTGATAGAGGTCAAGCTCTTTACAGCAAAGTAAATTGAGAAGAATCAGGACTTTCTCCTAAGTCTGTATGGAGTAAGGAATTTGAAATAATATAAAATATGGGATAAGAGTTGTATTTTTTACTTATTTAAATATATTTTTATTGATTTCAGAGAGGTAGGGGGATAGAAAGAGAGACAGAGACATCAGTGATGGCAGAGAGACACTGATCAGCTGCCTCCTGCATGCCCCACACTGGGGATCAGGCCCCCAACCTGGGCATGTGCCCTGACCGGGAGTCAGACTGTGACCTCCTAGTTCATAGATCGATGCTCAACTATTGAGCCACAGCAGCCAGACCAATAGTTGTAGTTTTTAAAAAGGCAGTGGCTTTCACTTAATATGACCTTATCATCTGAAGAATAATCAGGTTAGACCGGATTATTCTTCAGGGTTGGAGCTGCTCCCTTCCCACCGGGTTGCCATTTCTGACTTTGTGATATTTCATTAGTGTCATTCACAGTATTCAACATGAAATGGCCAAGTAAGGCCACTGTGACTGTCCTTTCCTAGTTTCCCCGGCTTTGATGAGTCATTCATTGCAATACAGCCCTCTGAACCAGGGCTGATAAGAATAGACACACAATAGGAAAATAATGCCACTGAGAGCTGCAGCAGAAAACACTGGGAGCGCTTACGTGTGCTCACAGCTGTGCTGTATTCAGCTGTGCGACCATGCACAAGTCTCAGCCTTTCAGGGCCCCGGGCTTCTCGTGCATAAAATAAAGTTTCTAGGGTCTCTTGCTGAGGTTCAGTCAACTTTGGAGTTTAATATCCGCCAAGAAACAGGAGATAAGCACTTTCAGGGACAGTACTTCGTGATTTGTGTAATTATAGTAGCTTTGTTGGCTGTTGGAAAACAGCAGCAGCCGATGAGTCAGCCTGGCCCGTAGCTATTGGAGATCAGTGATGCTTTTTTTATTGGGGGGGAAAAAAAGACCTGACTACCGCATAAGTTTAGGGGCCAGTGGTCAGGGTGATGCCAAGTTCCAGAAATAGCAGCGAGGCTCTTGTACAGAGGACAGTATGAGGGGACCGTTGTTATGAGCTGGTTTTCCCAGCCACACCTCCACGTCAGCTGTCCTTAGGGAAGGCACTCACGTGGGAGGCCATGAGGTATGACATCCCCATCCAGTCAACAGCCCACTGCACATGTTGCGTGGATTCACCACCGGTGACTGGGAAGTGGCAGGTGGTATTTTTAAACCTCCTCCTTCTTCCTGATTTTGTTCTCTAAGGATGGACATAAAGGAAACTCCAGTCGAATGCATGTTCTCTTATGAGCTCCAGCTGCAAACCCCTGGATGAGCCTGGGCTCCTGTAGAGATGAGCAGATCTGACTACCCATCCTTCTTCCTTCCTCTGGGCCCTGTCTCGGACTCCTCCAATGGCCAGAGAAGTGGGGAGAAAATCCCCTTTTTCGCAGGGCTGCGCCTCAGCCTGCCTGGCTGCTGACCCTGTGCCTCCCCACATGTCCAGCTTGGCTGACCCAGCGGATGTGAATTCCACGTGTAACAGGAAGAGCTTGGGCTGGGGGTCAAGGTCGGGCTCATTCTGAACCCTGCTCCCACTTCCTGGCTTTGGGCCTGGGCTGAGTTGTTTGGCTCAGGTACTACGTGTGGTAATAGTAATAGTCAGCATGCAGGTAGCTTCACCGTGTCTTCGAGAACCACATTTTATTCTTCAACCATATGCAAATGCCCCCTCCTTAGAGACAGTGAAGGTGGGCTAGAAACTTGACCTTGGACTCTCCTCCCCCATCCTTTCATCCTCAAGAGGATCTCAGCACCAGAGGCAGAGCTGACTCACAGAGACGGGCAAGGATCCCCACCTCTTACACACGCCCCCCCGGACAAAGGTGTTCAAACTCTATAAGCAATAATCTACTTTTTAAAAATATTACATGAAAATGTAAAATGAGTAAAAGTAGGCCTTTGTTTTTTAAAAAAATGGTTAAGTTGAAATTTATAATAAACCTGATAAAAATGATGAAGCAGCTTTGGTGAATATAGACATTTGAAGTAGGGGAGATAATAGATGACTGATATGGTCATTTCCCTGGAACATATAGGTAGGTACAGTTGTACCTCAGTATTCGGGGAGCGGGGATTGGTTCCAGGACCCCAGCAGATACAAAATCTGTGGGTGCTCCAGTCCCTTATCAGACAGAACGGGGAAGAACAAGGCACACAGTTGACCCTGCGCATCCACAGACTCCCAACCACGTATTGAAAATACTGTTTTCACTACAGGGTTGGTTGAATCCAAGGTCAAAAAATTCATGAATATTGGGGAGGAGGGGAGACTATAATTGCAAAACAGTTCTCCTTTCAGTCGAGTGATACTGGTCAATGAAAGAAGATAAACTATGCCCAGGCTGCCAACAATATATAAACCGGCACATACCTATCTGTTCACATGTAACAGATGGGAATGAGCTTTTGAATTATTGCCTTTTCCCCCAAATGCTTATGCATGTAAAAAAAGTAATTTTTAAAAAATATATTTTATTGATTTTTTGCATAGAGGAAGGGAGAGGGATAGAGAGTTAGAAACATCAATGAGAGAGAAGCATCGATCCGCTGCCTCCTATACACTCCCTACTGGGTATGTGCCTGCAACCAAGGTACGTCCCCTTGACCAGAATCGAACCTGGGACCCTTGAGGCCGCAGGCCGATGCTCTATCACTGAGCCAAACTGGTTAGGGTTAAAAAAAAGAAATTTAAAGTAAATGTTAACATGTATAAGACACCTCCATAGAACCCCAGGGTTCGGCAGAAGAGAGCTTGAACCCTGCTCCCTTAGATCTTGCGGCACTCACATCTCAGTTTGCTCTCCGTTCCCCAGTTGGTTGTGGGGTGTGTGTATTGGCTTATGGAGATGTATACAGTTTTCAAAACTCAAGACCATTTTGTATAAAATGTGGTGAAATTTGGATGAGATCTGCAGTCTGGTTGACAGTTTTGTGTGAGTCAATTGCTTGTTTTGATATTGTACTGTAGTCATGTAAAATGTTACCACTGGAGGAAGTTGGGTGGAGGGTATATCTATGTAGTACTGTTTTTGCAATTTTCTCTGCATCTATAATTATTGCAGAATTTAAAAGAAAAAAGTTGTTTGAAAACAGTTGTCTTGTAGTTGTTAGAAAGGAGTACGCCAGATTAATAGAGCAGTGTACACACCACCCTGAAGAGGGGATTTCCATTGCTCTTCCCTTCAAAAAGAGCATCTTTTCTTTCCTTGCCACCAAGTTCTGTATCCTCCACCCTCACTGTCACTGACTGTGACACTGTTGAAGTTTCGGAAAGAAAGCAGCCACTGGCACACCCAGGAGAGCTCTTCCGGGAAATCCAGCATAGCAGCTGCTTAATTACTCAATGAGAAAATGGCACTGAAACGCAAGTGCTCCGTCTGCAGTCACTGATACAGAGGGAGATGGGTAATGCAGCATGCTTTTGGGAAGCATTCCTATGCTTAACACATTTAGTAATTAGGCCAAAGAGTGTCAAGAAGCCATGATATCATGATGTGGCCACGTGTACACATCAGCGTCCTGAAGCCTGGCGTGGTGATGCACAGTGATGAGGATTCTCCAGGAGGAAAGGTGAAGGGCTAACGATAACTTAAAAAGGGTAACTCTGTAAAAAATCAATAATATATATATATTATTGATATATATATATTATTGAGATATATATATATATCTCTCATATATATATATCTATATATATACATATATACATATGATATATATGATATATAAATATATATATATATATGTAAACCTTTGATCCACTCACTTCTCTATGTGGGGAGGGCGATAGTGAACTGTGGTTCTCTGTTTCCCTAGATTTTACAGCGCGCTGTCAATTACTGCCTTGGTCTTTGATAAGATTGATGGTGGTGGTGTTTTTTATCACTTGGAGAAATGCAACAGAATTCCCTGAGCCATCTTCCCAGATCTGTCTTCCTTGTTTTTTCCCAAAGAGTGATTATCTGGTCTGCTTTGACTTTAATGGATCAGTGGGGTTGATCACATCTATCAGATAACTATGTGAGCTGAGCTCAGGACAGTGCTTTGGTTAATGTGTTCATGTGTGCTAATAGAATCCGTTTTTATTTTTGTTCTATTTTTTTGAATATATATTTTTATTGATTTCAGAGAGGAAGGGAGAGGGAGAGAGAAATATCAATGATGAGAGGAAACGTTGATCAGCTGCCTCCTGCACTCCCCACACTGGGGATTGTCCTAACTGGAATCGAACTGTAACCTCCTGGTTCATAGGTCGACGCTCAACCACTGAGCCACACCGGCCAGACTATAATTTGTTTTTTAAAAATCAATTTACTCAGTTTACAAAGGTCCTTTGCATTAAGCAGGGAGTTAGTTTTGGGCCAGGTGTGGAGACGCCCTGGCTGACTCTGGAGACAAAGCTCTCAGCTTTTCCCAGAATCACTCTGTCTGACCAGCTCTTCTGGCTTCTTCTCAGGGTTATCAATGCCGGGAAGAGCACGCACAACGAAGACCAGGCCAGCTGCGAGGTACTCACCGTGAAGAAGAAAGCGGGGGCCATTGCCTCCACCCCCAACAGGAACTCCACCAAGAGACGGTCCTCCCTTCCCAATGGGGAGGGGCTGCAACTGAAGGAGAACGCGGTAAGACCCCGCTCTGCCCGCAGGCCTCCGGGAGGGGAACACACACACTCCGGTTCCAGCTGAGTGCAGTCCGTCACGGACAGGAGAAAAGCAGTCCCCAGGGCTAGTGGAGTGGGCAGGGGTCTCTGCTCAGGCTACCAGTCAGAGCTGAAGGCAACATCTGTATGAAGAAGTGGTGTGTAGGTTTTTAACCTTTAAAGTAAATAAAATACCCAAATCATACATACATTTTATTGCAAGAATTAGTGGGTGGAACATTTGATGGATTTAAGGTAGCCACCACAAGGCTTTTGTGAAGGAGCTGGTTCGGCAGCCGCTCACAAGGGGTGGAAATCACTGTTGCCATTGACTCGCAGCCCTGCTCCGATTATGCCCCTTTCTTCCTCTCCTGTCGCTTGGAGTTGTCCAGCTGGAGCCTGTGCCCAGCTCTATTACAAATTAACATTTGTTTCACTTGGCCCAGGGCCCTTGCATCCCACGGGGCAGCCCTGCCAACAAATCACAAAGCATTTCTCCTCCCTTCAGTTTCGGGAGGGGAAAGCAGACATCCTCCGAAAAGTCAGAAGAAAACTCAGGTCCTGTCCATCAGCAGGTCCTGTCGTGCTGCAGAGGAGAGACATCGAGGGGATGACCCAAATGTGACTACTTATTTTGACAATCTTGTATAGAATTTTTGTATAGAAATTTCTACAGGATTGCAAAGGATCTAGGATTCTCTTCGTAGACTAAGAAATAGCGTCTCGTGGCATTTACTTTTAGGGAGTAAGAGTACTGGTTTATTTTGATAGTATTACTTCAGCTCAGAGTTAGGAAACAGAGGGGCCCCAGGAGACTGTCAGTTGTGTTCCAGATCATTGCAAAGACCCTGAGAGAGGAACGGCCTGGCGTTTTAAAGCACCAGCAAGAGACTCACGTGGCTGGAGCAGAGAGAGTTGTCAGAAAGGTCGTGAGAGTGGAGTGAGGCGCCCTGGCAGGACCTGAACGGCCCGTTATCAGGACTTTGGCTTCCACTCTGAGTGAACAATTTATTATCAGAGGACACTGGGTACACTGCTTAATGAGGCCAGTGATTTTTCTCATCTAAGGACATCCCTTAACTCGGATATGGCCATGCTTAGGAAAGGGTAATGACATAGGGCCCCCGAGCAAGAAAACATCCATAGGAGACAAGTAATGTGGGTCTACCCCTCCCCCTCCCCCATGAATCATCTCCTTTTTGTTTGTTTTTTGTTAATCCTCACCTAAGGATATATCCCCTCTCCCCCATTGTTTTCCAGAGAAAGTGGAAGGGAGGGAAGGAGGAAAGAGAGATAAACATCTATGTGAGAGACACATCACTGGTTGCCTCCTGCACAAACACCCGTCCAGGGGGTGGGGAGCGAACCCATGACCCTTGAGTATGAAGACCAAAGTTCTAACCACTTTGCATACCGGCCAGGGCTGAATCTATTTCTTCATTCAACAAACGTGTATTGAGTGCTGAGTCTGCACGCTAGGCTTGGGGATAGGCAACGAACTCGGTACAGTTCCTACAGCTGAGCAGAGGAGGCAGAAAGAGGCAATAGCAGCAGGACTACAGAGGAGTGAGTTTTAGGAGAAAGATGAAGAGCTGAAATGGTATGGAAGCCTAAGTCAGGTCTAGTGTGCTGGAGCATGGGTAGGCTCTTGGAGCGTGATGACGCAGAAACAGCAAGCAGGTTTCACATACAAGAGCCATTTAATGCCCCAATAAGCTGGAGTTTTAACCAAATGACTTTAGACAAGACAGTGATGGTGGTGGGAAGCTCGCTGAGGAAGGTTAGGAGAGCAGCTACAGGCTGGGACACCTAAAAGTCTGCCTCAAACAGAAATCTGGCTGAGAAATCATGGCAGCTTGGACTAAAGCAGTGATCAGAGCAAGGGAAAGCTCAGAACAGATGATGTGCGAGAGACCGTTTAGGCGACCTGATGACCTACTGCACGGGCAAGGGGAGAGTTGGAGATGCCAGGTTTCAGCTACTGGATGTTGATCCTTGAATGTGGACCCTGGAACAGGTACAGGTTTAAAGGTGAGGGGTGGGCAGAAATGACTTGAGTTTGGAGTATTCTAACTTTCTAGGTTGGAAGTATTTTGTAAGACATTAGAAATACTGTTCTGGAACTCAGGAGCAAGAGGAAGGAGGTTTAGATTTCAGGAGTTGCAAATTCAAAGAAATTCCAACGAGAGAGGGGAGCAGAAGGGAAGTCACTATACCCTAGGCCACAGAGACGTCAGAACAATAAGGTTGAAAAGGGGGCAAATACTCTAAGTAAGAAATGGGACCGAGGGATAAATAACGGCGCCATTATCTCATTTGCAAACAGGGTTGACAGGCATGAAGGATACAAAAGGAAGATGCATGGGCTGCTTCTACATGGTGTGGTTCATTGCTCCCTGCTTTCTTGACCCCCTCATCCCCAATAAACTTAGTAAATGCCGGGAGCCAGTCCATCCTTGCTGTTTCAAGGGACCTGGCATATATGGCATACTGTTCTTAATATGTTTGGTCACCTTCTTGGCACTATGTGTTTTAACCAAGGTCACCTCTCTGAGAAAGGTTGTTTCCCCAGGTAGGGATTTTCCCCTGAAGTTAGGGAGGGAATAAAACCTCTTAACTGCCAGG